CGATTTCATTTGTTGGTTCAAACAAAAAGCCCAAACTAATGCGCCTATAAGTGATGAGCTGAGACAGGTTGTAAACGGCTGTGCCGTTAGGGTCAAGTCATTTACCGGTTATGACATGAATGGATATCGTTTTCACACAGCAAGCTATGAGCAGAGTCGGCCCAATCGAAAAACCACAAACAACGGAGTTGTTACGCCCGGCACTGATGGACTCGACTATTATGGAAGAATTGAAGAAATCTACGAACTATCATTCTATGGTTCCAAACCTCTTACTCATGTCATATTCAAATGCCACTGGTTTCATCCTGGAGTAACGAGATGGACCCCTAAGCTTGGGCTAGTCGAGATTCGATAGGATTCCATCTATCCAGGAAAAGATGTCTACATTGTGGCTCAACAGGCCATCCAGGTTTATTATACATCATACACGTGCAAAGACGCCGAGCATCTTAAGGGTTGGTCTATTGTGCACAAGGTATTGCCACACGATAAACTACCTGTCCCAAACGATGAAGATTACAACTTCAACCCAAACACATATGATGGAGAGTTCTATCAAGAAGAGGGGCTACAAGGGAGGTTTGACATAGACTTAACCGAAGAGATGGGAATAGAAGTAGACAATGAAAGGGATGATGACGAGGACGCTGGAGACGAGGTGCGAAATCTGAAGGACATACAAATGCTTGAGCGATTACGTTTAGGCAATGACAATGAAGACAACATACCTCCTTCGGATAGTGTTGATGAGTTGGACAATGTTGATAGTGATGATGAGACCTATGATCCAGCTAATCTCAATCATGAAGATTATTTCTAATACATGTAATACTATATTTTTTGTAATTATGTTTTGTTCATTTTTGCATATATTTCTAATACATGTATTACTATGTTTTTTGCAATTATATTTTATTCATTTTTGCACCTATTTCTAATTACGTCTTGTTTTTCTTTTTTATTGCAGGTGATTGAACAAAGATGGTGGGCGGCCGTCATAGGTCCATGAACTCGATTTACAAAAGACCACGCCGGCTGCAGGAGGAGGCGGAGGGGGCGATGGAGGGATCGGACAGGAGGAGGAGGACCGCCAGCCGCAGGAGGGGGCCATCTCCTCCCACGCCGCACGAGGAGGAGGTGGCGCCCGTGGACAAGTCGGACGAGGAGCTGGTTCAGCAGACGAACGAGGAGGAGGGGCCGCACGAGGACGATGAGGGCGAGGCGGCAGGCACAGGTTCCGCTTCCTCTGACTCCTCTTCGAGTGTCTACTTGCGAGGTCCCACGAGCCTCCCACAGGTTCCGCTTCCTCACCAACGCCCAGTGATTCACCCCGAAGGGCAAAACTAAGTAACTTTATATGTTATCACCACTACTTCATATGATATGATGAAAAAAAAACTAATAATTTTTCTTAATCACTTGTGCAGGAACTGGGTGGTTGTGTTGGGTGGTAGCGCACGGCTAGTCAATGGCATCCTGGGTGTTCTGTGCATGCAACACTTCCCCAGCATTGTCACGTACGTATCGAAGACGGAGCTGACCTACTCGTTTGACCACTACGCCATCGCACTCGATGCGGAGTACCCCAACAAGGCGGCGCGGGTGAAGGCAGAGTTTTGGGTAAGTCTCACTCGCACAACATTGCTCAATATGTCGCATTCATTGGACTTTTCTTGAAATAATGAATGGATACATCGCTTTTGTATGCAGACTTATTACAGATGCGAGGAGGGATTTGAGGCCAGGACAGAGCAGGTGACTACCAAAGCCTGTAAAAAACTCGTCACCGACATGCATCACGAGGCGCGCATCCAGGCCATCGTAACCTACTACGGGTCAAAGCTTGGAGAGAGGAAAACCAAGAAAGACGCAAGAGAGATGCAACTGACCCGGGAGCAGTACCTTGAGGTAAATGAAGAACATTAATATTGATTCGTTTTGAGATTAAGTTGGTTTAATTTGATCTTCTTATATGTCCAATAGTTGATGACGTGTAGATGATTCCCTGGTGGTGCCAAACGTATCCCGAGTGCTGGGCGATGATGGTGGAGAGGTGGTTCACGGAGGAGTACCTCAAGATGCACAGGGATGCCCGGGGCCATCATTTGCAGATGCAAGGTCCAGCACACCATCAAGGCAGCCGCAGCCTCGCCAGATACAAACAAGCATGGGTAGGCAAATTCATTTATCTATTGTGACGCTCAGTTCTGACTGATTTATAATCATCGTGCTGTCTTTCTCGCAGTCGTCGCCACATAGTGGCCAGACTTGCTCGGACTTCCAAGCATGGTGTATGGCCCACAAGGGCAAGGCGACGTCCGACATCTCCTTCAACTTGGAGGACCCGCCCGAGGCATACACGAACCCGAGCGTCCACTCCCGCATCAGTGAGTACACTGAGGTGGCGAGGTCGCTCCATGGGCCAGACCACGATCCGAGCACCTAGGATTTCGATGGAGAGGCCGTCGTCATGAGGGCAGGGCAAGGCAAGAAGCATGGGCGGTTCTGGCTTGGCGACGGCGTCATCGACACGGCCTCTACTCTCTCTCTCTCCGAGATCCGAGCACGGAGCACGAGCGAGAGCCCGGCCATTCGCACACGGCCGACTGCTGCACAACATCGGGTCGACGCACTCGAGGTTATTCCTGTTTTACTTGTCATACATTGATCTTTACACACCTTAATTAGCTTTGTATTACTGAAACATTGGAGTGAAATATTGCAGACCCGGCTGGAACAAGAAATGAGGCAACGTCAGGAGCTGGAGGCCGGACACCAGAGGATGGCAGCCCAGCTGGAGGCCGAGCGGGCCGAGCGGCAGGCCTAGGCGCAGAGGCTGACGGACATTACGGAGTTTCTACAAGGGCTTGGGCAACGTGTGGGCTTCTCTCTGCCAGCTGGGCTATTGGTTCCACCTCCGCCTCCGTATCCTACAGCTTCAACTACTCCTGTGAGTATGAAAGTTTTTTACTTTCGCTTGTGCTTTGCTTGTAAGACCTCTACCTTCCTAGATTAGCTATCCAAATAATCTTCGCCGTGTTCACTGGTCTGGACCATCCAGACTAGCCGGCTGGTTCCTCTCAGCAAATATTATTCATCAACCAGTCGCTACAGTATTTCTCTCTCACAAAACCAGCCAGCTTCAACCAAGATTCTGCCAGCCGAATGGAGCCCTTGTCTCACATGTAATCTTTTCTCCTTTGTGCAGTCTTCATCTGACGGTGGTTCAAATAATCCACCTCATGCACCTTCGAATGATGGAGCTGGGCCTTCACCATAGTCGTAGTGGCCGAGATGAGTGCACGTTGTATTTTTTCATTTATTGTTCACTTGGTGATGAACTTGTGATATACTTGTGATGCATTTGTGGACTTTGATGGACTTGTGGATTTATTTAGATGGACTTAAGCACTTATTATTATATATGTGATATATATTATGATGGACGTGATATGTGCGGATGGATGTGTGGATGGATGAGATATATATGTGATGGATGAGATATGTATGTGATATATGTTTGTATGAATTTATTTGTCATGATGGAATGTAAAAAAAACTAAAAATTTTCGTTTTGGGTCACTTTGCCGAGTGTTGCACTCGGCAAAGGGACCGTTGCCGAGTGCCATGGTCACAACACTCGGCAAAGCTGAAAAATGGGCGCTCGGAAAATCTTTTTTCCAGCTTTGCCGAATGCCACTCGGCAAAGAATTTTTTTTAAAAAAAAATCAAACTTTGCCAAGTGCCGGCCAGAGGGCGCGGCAAAGAATTTTTTTTAAAAAAAAATCAAACTTTGCCGAGCGCCGGCAAGGGGGCACTCGACAAAAAAAATTTAGAAAAAAAAATATAAAACATCTTTGCCGAGGGCCGAATAGAGGGCACTCGGCAAAGAATTTTTTTAAAAAAAAATAAAAATATTTGCCGAGTGCCTGCAGGGTTGACACTCGGCAAAGCGACCATCAACAGGGCCGGCGCCGTGACGGTCGCTTTTCTTTGCCGAATGCCCCCGGGGCTCTCGGCAAAGCCTTTGCCGAGTGCCCGATAAAAAACACTTGACAAAGAGGGCTTTGCCGATTAATTTTTTTGTCATGTGTTCTTTGCTGAGTGCCGCACCGAGTGCAATTTAGCCTGAGACCCTCGACAAAAGAACTGAATAGTAGTGTACGCTGAATATGCTACTTTATATGAGGAATAGCAAATGTTTAATATTTCAACGACAACAACCAAAAAAGTACCGGATGTAATCAGGAGGGCCAGCTGTCCTCCGGCGGATCAGATATATAGCTAGCGCGGGTAACCTAGCTAGCTTTGCGAGGGGCGTCAGAGAGCACACCGAACCGCCCGAAAGGCAAGGCAAAAGGCATGGCGACGTACACGGACGTGACACGTGAGCCAGGAACATATAACGTACTCCTACTATTGTAGGAGTATATTCTAGCAGTGCATCCCGCACACTTGCATACATACGTACATAATGCAGAGAAGACGGCGGACAACGACGACAAGGTAAAGACATGTACGTACATGATGATCGTACATAATGTAGCTCTGCGTCCTGTTCGCTTGGGCTTGTTTTGGCTTATAAGGCGTACTTTTTCAGCCAACAAACGGTATTTTTCTCTCACATCAAATCAGCCGACAGTACTTTCAATCATGCCTTACCAGCCAAACAAGTCTAAACGAACAGGACGCTAGAGAGTGGAGACTATGTTTTTCAAACACTAGGCCTTTGGGGCCAATCAATCACAGCCTATTCGAAACTGGTGGCTTATTCGTTGCTGGTTCGTGAAAAAATACTACTGACTAGATTATACAAGAAAAAAACACTATTTCTAACCGAAAACACTGTTTACATAAACAGTGTCCACGTAAAAGGGCTGGGCAGCACCAGCCAGCCGCTCCAACCGAACATGCTGATAATTCTATGTGAGGGATCGGATCTTCTCCCCCTCCGTCAACTAATTAAAAAAAAAGCGTGCGGTCAGCCGGCCACTGAGTCATACCTCCCAGGGGTCCACGAAGATGGGGCGAGCTGCAGGGGCCGACCTGGCCCAGTCCCAGCCGTCCGCGTGGCCGCCGCCGAGCCGCTTCATGCACCACACGTCCTCGGTGCACGACAGGCGGTGCGGGATGCGCCTGCCGAGGGGGTCCATGGCCTCCACCTCCACTGCCACGGCTGCCGCCCTGCCGCGCGCCATGTTGAGGATGGACGCGAACACCGCCTCCGCGGCCAGCGCGGCGTCGCGTCCGCTCCCGGCGAGGCCGTACACGAACCACCCCGCGAACGGGCGGAACAGGACGGGCACGGACGGCACGCGCAGCCACTTGCGACGCGGTCCAGCGCGCGGCAGGCGGCGGCGGCGTCGCGGCGCAGGCGCGACGCGCCGCGCACCTCGAGGCGGAACACGCCGCCGCAGTGCCACGCGCTCGCCACGGCCCACGACTCCGGCGGGGACGCCAGGAAGCGGCCGACGTCACCGCCCCACTCGAAGCCGTCGCCGACAATCGCCAGGAACGTGCCGCGGGAGAGCGCGTTGTCCAGGACGTGGCCGATGTCCGCGGGGAATAACTCGACGTGCGCGACGAACCGGCTGCGGTACAACTGCTCGGCGTCGTGGGCGCCGAGGCGGACGACCGTGGCGCGGCGCGGCGCCTTGAGCCGGTGCGAGTGCACTGGGTGCACGAGCAGGGACAGCGAACGGAACTCGGTGGAGCCCGCAGCGGCCGGTGAAGAGACGCAGCGACGCCTCGTTGGACCTGTCGGTGGCCATGTACGCGTACTCGGCGCTGATGAGCTCGAACCACTCCTCCAGCTGACGCACCAGCTGCAGCGCGACGCCCATCCGCCTGGATGCGATGCATGCACCAGTTTATTTAACACAGGAGCATGGATCAGTAAAATCGATGCTAGCGATCGTAGATGTCAGGAGTAATAATCCCTAACTTAGGGACAGCATGCAATGCAACTTTACCTGTGGGAGGCCGCGACGCGGAGGCCTAGGATATAGCCAACTGTGGCCAAGGCCGGTGCGCCAGGGCGGCTCTTGGCGGAGGCGACGGACTTGACGGAGCACACATACGTACCGCCCTGAGGTAGTGCGGCGAGTGGCGGATGCGCGCGACGGGGTCGCCGAGCAGGTCGGCGTGCAGCGACATCCCGCCGGCCGGGCCGACGTCGCACTCCCGGCCGGTCAACGGCCTCCGTCCCGTCGCAGTCCGTCTCGGGATTGTACTCCCTGATCGCCGCCACCCCACACCCCTCTTCGTCTCTCATGGCACCCATCGATCTTATGCAGCCCGCAGCCGCTTCAACTCTCTGCTACACACTAGCTAGTACTCCGGGTTTGTATGTGCTCATATATCACTCAGTGCTCATCACCACGACTCCATACATTGGCAACCGGGCAAATGTAGCATTACATATAGGTGCCAATCATGGAAGATCCATGAATACGACTACACGCTAACACGCTAACCCTGGCTTTCTACTATTCCTCATGTTAGTTGTTGCCTTATTAGAAAGTACTAGTACTTGCACTTGTTTCATATGCTGAACCTGCATGATAGGAAATGCAGCTAAGACCCAGCAGGGTTGTCTCATCTCACGAAGCAACGCTTAGAGTGCCGCGTGGGTTATCTCATCTCACGAAGCAACGCTTAAAGTGCCGCGTGACAGAATAGAGTTACTGCACAAAGTATTTGTGGTATGAAATGGTCAGCAACAAGATTTTAAAAAGGATTGGGATGATATCGTGGTAACAACGAAGGAGGTTTCAATGGAGATCAGCAATGACATTTAGTTACCGGGATGTTCCAATGGAGATCAGCAATGATATTTAGTTATCGGGTTACAGGATAATACATGTTTTTTCTGTTAGTGGAAATTTGAGTTTCCAGCAGTGCTACCTGGAACAAACAATCTGAGAGCATATTTGAATATTAAGAGCTATTGTTAGTTACTGCCCAAGCTAATTCAAACAAGAAGGCCAATAGGGGGCCGGGGTTAGCTTGATAACTCTAGCTAATTTCTAATTCTAACTAGTAACTAGTCCTATCTCACCCAAACAGCCAAATAGGCTCTTAGGTTGCTACAAGGAAGAAACGTGTTTCTCATCCGGATCCGTTTCCTGTCTCTAGCTACTGAATACTCCATCACTGTTGACGCGTCATCAAAGGAGGATGAATATAGCTTGCATGATCGTCAGTAGGCTGTAAGTCTGCAGGTCAGATGGATAGGAAAAGAAGGCTTACGGTGCCGAGTGCATCAAAAGATATTGATAAGCAAAGAAAAAACAAAAAGGTATATATGAAGTATGGCTAGTGCCAAGTGGCTATGTGATGTGCAGAAGCACGGCATGGCGGTGGAACTCCTGTGTCCGACAGGGTTATGTTTTTACTAAAAAACACTGAACGAGAATTAGCTAAAAAGAATCTAAAAAAATCTAAAACAACAGCTTCCGCGTGGTACAATTTTCGTACCACCTCGAAGGCTGCTTTTGCTTTAATTTTCAGCTTTTCAAATTAAGTGGAAAGAGAGATGTTTTATAGTTGTTTCCATCAAATCATAGATTATACTTCATCCGTCTAAAAAAGTGATGTTCTGTGATTTAAAATTTGTTCTAGAAAAAAAATGTTATGAGTTTTAGACACGCTGTTGACCCATCGGTTCGGCGCTAAATTACCAATTGAGATGCACTACTGTTTATTGCCTGCCTCGGATCTCTGCATGCTTGCATGCAATGCATCTTAATTAGGAAGTAAACCACCCGATATCCCTTCTTTTAAGGTAATCTTGTGTGACATACTAAGGGTATTAATAACATTTTTTTTCTTCACTAATTTATCTGAAAAAATCCCAGAACATTACTTTTGGGGACAGAGGGAATAACTTCTTAATTCACATCACATAAGCTTTTCCACAATTCATATACAGTTAAAAAGGAAGAGAGAGAGAGAGAGAGAGAGAGAGAGAGAGAGAGAGAGGGAGTATCGGCTTTGTCCAGTAGCATAATCCCAAACTTGTCTTCGATCTTGTCAGAGACAAAGATGACTGCTGCTAGAAGAGTGAGGAATGTAAAGGGGAGACTTGCGCCTTGTTTAGATGCCATCCAAATTCTAAGTTTTTTCACTCTCTTTATCACATCAATTTTTAACCGTTTGCATGGAGTATTAAATGTAGGTAAAAAAAATAACTAATTACATAGTTTAGTTGGAAAATCACGAGATGAATCTTTTGAGCCTAGTTGGTTCACGATTAGACAATATTTGCCAAATAAGACGAAAGTGGTACTATTCATCGGGTTCAATTTTTTTTTCAAAGTGAACGAGGCCTTGTTGTATTTCAGTTGGCAGCGTTGGTTGATTCAGGGCCGTAGCTCAATAACGGCCGTGGCAGTCAACAACAGGGCCGTGTTTAGTTCGGCGCGTCGACGAAATCACTGTAGTTACACTGTAGCTATAGTGACGTTTTGTTTTTATTTGGTAATAATTGTCCAATCGTTGACTAATTAGGCTCGAGACGTTAGTGACGTTTTATTTTTATTTGGTAATAATTGTCCAATTGTTGACTAATTAGCGCAAAACGTTCGTCTCGTAAAATACAACTAAGCTGTGCAATTAGTTTTTGATTTCATCAACATTTAGTACTCCATATATGTACCGTAAATTTGATGTGACGAAAAATCTTTTTTTTACATAGTATAGTATCGAAGTTAGGAATTTGGTGGAAGGCCCAAGTTCTGATGCGATGCGTCGCAGGCAGGCCACTACCTGGTTTGGCTTCCAGGTCGCCCCGTGCGGTGCGGCACCACCAACTGCCCGAATGGTCCACCTCCGTCCACGGTAACAGCTTTATTTACCAACAACTGCTTCTTGTGGAAGGAAGGAGGGCTCCGAGAGTGCAATTGGATTTGGAGGCCATTGCTTAAATAGTCCTATGGCAGGAGGAGAAGGTGATGTGGGAGGCCGCGCGTGGAGCTGGTGTGGGGGCATCCTTGACTCTGAACGTTTTGGCCAGGCGCACTAAACGACGAGCTCGATCTAGTGCAAAAGAAAGAAAAAACCTAAACCATATCGAATAAAATTATATAGCTGGTCAAGTCTCATCTAAATAAGAGAGATATTTTAACGGGCCACCGCAACACACGTGGCCCTGTGCAACTTATTATGGTTATATATCTGGTATAGGTAAAAATATTAATGCTCATGACATCAAATAAATATAGTATGAAACTATATTTCATTACGAATTGAATGGTATATATTTACTATGATAAATATTAATATCTTTTATATATTGAAATTTGACATTAAAAAACGTGAGTACAATGTAGGGCCGGTAACTGTCAGGATGTCCAGAGGGGAGATTTGTATTGTTCTTTTTTATTTAGAGCTCTCAGATCAGAAAATCTCATAGGAAAAAATCTACGTAACCCCCTCAACTATTCAGGGTGAACTACTTCGCCCCCCAAACTATAAAACCGGATTTTTTAAACCCCACCCCCCCTAAACTTTTCAAAACCGGTCAAATAACCCCCCAAGCGGTTTTGGACGGTGGTTTTATCTTTTTATTTATTTATTTTTGTTGAATCTTTAAAAAATCATAGTAAATTATAGAAAAATGATAAAATAGAAAATCTAATTTTGTTGGAGTCCACATGAGTAGATCTACACAGTGAACATATAATATGATATATTTTAGTATAAAGTTTTTTATGTAGCTTTAGATCTATGCTTTTTTGTAATTAATTGGAATAATTTATAGCTGTAGCTTCTATGGTCCAATTGTGATGAAATTTTTATGGTAAACTAATTATTGTATGCTTGAACTGTAGTAAAAAATTCATGATCATTGGGTCATGTATAAGTTAGTTATAGATAAAGCATATATTTAACAAGCATAAACCTAAATAAATCTATAACTAAGTATACATGATCCAATGAGTATGAAATTTTTACTATAGTTGAAGCATACAATAATTAGCCAACCATAAAATTTTCACCATAATTGGACCATAAAGCTGCAGCTATGAATTATTTCAATTAATTACAGAAAAGTATAGATCTAAAGCTAGAGCAAAACTTTGTACTAAAGAATACTATATTATATATTTACTGTGTAGTCCTACTCATGTGGAGTCCAACAAAATTGGATTTTATATTTTATGTTTTTTCTGTGATTTATTATGATTTTTGAAAGATTCAGCGAAAATAAAAAAAATAAAAAAACAAAACCACCGTCACTGCAAAACCACTGTCCAAAACCGTCTGGGGGATTATTTGACCGGTTTTGGAAAGTTCAGAGGGTAGAAAATCTGGTTTATAGTTTTAGGGGTAAAGTAGTCAATCCTAAATAGTTGAGGGGGTTATGTGGATTTTTTTTTTCCAAATCTCATACGGGGAGGATGTACCCCAATTAGACATGTAAACGTAATGTTCTCCGAAAATATTGTGTTGGGCCTTCTTAGGCTTCTCAAGCCTCGCATAGTTGGCAATCGGTATGGGCCAACCACTATGGTCTATGAGTGAGCCAGGAATTTCACTTGGAAATATATAGCGACGGGATTACCAGGTTGATGGGCCAAGTGGGGTGGTGGTCGTCCCTGACACTGCTTGTTGAACGGCAACCTTCCGTAGTCATCGTCAGCATTCGTAGCCGCGTCGGGCGCCGACCTCGCAGATGTTCTCCGTAAGCATGTCCTCCTCGAGTACCTCAGCCCCACCGACCTTCGCTGCTTGCCCGCCTCCGTGAAGCTCGTTACCACGCTGTTCAGAATCGAGATCACCGGTCATCTCCCTTGCCATTGTCCACTCGCCGACATCGTTTTCAGGTTCAAATGCCACAGTCCTCGTGGCGTCCAGAGTTCTAAGCGCCAGCGGCCGCGTCAACATCACCCGCATCCTAGCCGACGTGGGCGCCTTCAATGTGGCGGTGTACATGCTCAATGCAGGATTCACGTGTTAGTATGTTTTGAATAGCACCATCTCCTTCCTCTCGGTCTGCACTTTCCATCTTCCTAAGCAGTGTCCCTCGTTTGGAAAATCTCTGTTCACTGGTATCCTTGCCTGTCGTAGCGCGTAGGCCCCCAGCGGCACAGCCTGTTCGTTTGACTGTGGCTTCTCGTAAACGATCGTAAATTTTCAGCCGAAACAATATT